TCTCGCAGGTATAGATTGCGTTTTGTGCCTGTTTGTACATTCAGATCCTCGTTTGTATCTCCTCCTATAATAATTCTATGGGTTTCATTGTATTTTTGGTAGAGCTCATATAATTGATTTTGGTATTCTGATAGGTGGTTTTTACTCCCTTTTGCTGGTAGGTATACTGATGTTAAGATTATGTTGGAGTTGGAGTTTTCCTTGATTTCTATACACTGTATTCTTTCTAATCCTAGGTCTATTGGTTTTATAATGTGATCAATTTTTTTTCTTCCTTGGTATGGCTACTCCTCCGTATCCTCGAGGCATACATATTGGTAATAGCGGCTCATTCATATCAACCCCCTTGCCTATATAGTTTATATGTTCATTAAGTTCACCGAGTAGATGTAGCTGTGTTTGGAACAACCAATGCTCCTGAATGAGAATTATATCATTACTTTGTAAAAGTTTATGTACTATTGGTCCACACGTTTTTATGTTTTTACAGTTGAATGAGACAAGTTGTAGTTGAGTACTCTCTGATTTTTCGACGCCTGTTTCTTCTGTTACATACGGTTCATGTTGAGGCGTTGTAGTGCTAAAAAGACTGTTGTGCTGAAGTTGGTATAATTTTTCTATTGCCACTAAGTTCTTGTTTATTTTGCGTTGCAGGGTATGACGCATTCTTTGGCCACCGTTGTTGATGGTGAGCAGTATGATAGTCTATATTTTGCTTATTGCCTGTATATGTCGGTATTTGCATTGGCAGTGGGATATTATAATGCATATCTTTCTGTTTTGGCAAATTCTGGTCTGCTGATTTTTTGTAGCTCAGTGGTTGCCAAGTAAGATGTTGTACTGTGGTTTGTGTTATTGGAACTATATTTTCTTTCTGCGTATGATTTACAGTTTTTCAGTTTGCCTACTGCTGTCCGTCTTTGGTGATTCTGTAGCTGCTTGCTGATTGCCATCAAAGAGCTTAATCTTGTCGAGCTGTCTATCCATTTCGTCTAGTACGATGTTTGATAATTTTGTATAGAGATTTGCTAGTTTTTGATCAAGCTCTTGTTTCATCTTATGATTGACGTCCTGACCATTGGTTGGGGCTTCACATGTGTTGGGTGAAGCAGGCATAGCTAGGTGGCTGTCAGATTCAATCCTTCTTTTGAGTAGTTTAACAGTTTGTTCTTATTCGAAATTCCTGGCTTCTAGCTGTTGACATCTTGATTCTAGCAATATTTTCTCATTTCGTATCTCATTTAGTGATTGTTCCTTAATTTTAAGTTGCTCTTCTACTTTTTTAACTTTAATTTCTCTTGCTCTTAGTTCACTTAGTTTAGGAAGTGTTGGATCATCCAGGTTTTGTTGTTTCATTTTGGGTTTTCTGGGTTTAGGTATTGGCTTTGTGGTAGCTAGTGGTGTTGACTCTTCATTGAGCAAAGTTGTTTCTTGGCTTTTCCCCCCAATGTTCCTGTGGGGGGTTACAATAGCTATATCTTTGTTGATGTTTTCTTGTAGCTTGAGTTCTTCTTGGAGTATGATACAGGGTATGCATATGTATGTTTCGTTTATTTTGGTCATACATTTGATGTGGCATTTGTTGTTACAATCTTCGCATATGAACCAGGCTGGATCTATAAGTATAGTGTCACATACTGCACATTCTCCTCTGGTTGGCGGTTTGTTGATGTTTCATCTTTGTTGCAAACTTTCAATAATTCGGTTTCTTCTTCAAGTAGTTGCTGGGCATGGGTGTTACTCTGTGCGCACCTATTCAATGCTAGGAGGATAGATTTTGCTTCACAATTTAGCTTGCATTCATAGTGCTCCTCGCCGTTTGAGTTTTCTGCTACTTGTATCTCTTGTTGTGTTAGTTTCTGTCATTTGTAGTGTACCCAGTGATTTCCAGTATCACAGTAAGTGCGTCTAGTTCTACATTTTTTTTACATTTGGTACAAGTTTCATTGCCATCTGTATTTAGTTGTTCATTCATCCTACTTCCTTTGGCAAGGTCGTTGTTGCCCAGGAGATTTTGTAGTTGGTTGCCTAGTTGCTGTTTAACTCTTCAGTGTTCAATCCTTTAACACCTTGTTCTTGCAGGCCCTTGTGGACAATCTCATGTATGTTGTTGATATCGTTGGCTAAAAATTGGTTAGCATCAGTTCCATTTATTAGAAGACGACTGGTTGTGTTATATATGTTAATTGTGTAGCTATTGCTGTTCAGGGCAACTTTGATTATATGCTGCACTATTGTAGTTTGCGATTTATCAGTTATTTTCCTTATATTTGCTTGTCCTTTGATCTCAGGAAGGTATTCAAAGTAGTTTAGAGTTGCCAGTCGAAGTTATTCAAATGTTACTGCATCTGCTGTTAATACAATTCCACCCTTTGTATGTTTATATTTTACACTAAGATTTCTTTTAGTCGCTTCAAGTTTTTGTATAATGCTTTTGTGATACTCAGTGTATAGTTTTTCATATGGGTCTCTTCATTGAGCTCGGTTCTAGATCTCGCACGGGATTTATTTGTTGGTACTAGGGAAGACATGGCTATAAATGTTCACTTCTGTCTGTTGACAATGTTCAGATAGATTTAGTGTTTCAACAGCGTGGCTTGGTCATCCCATGCCTTCTGATCCACACCAAATTTTCTCTGGTTGTTTAGTGCCAACAGTCTACCCGGATTTGAGTTGATAGTTCTGATAACCAATCTTTGGCCAAAATTGGTTTAGGGTGTATACCGTCTAAGTAGAGCTGGTAGTTGATATACTGTTTGCGTTGTTTTTTCTTTCCCCTTTTTACTTGTTTGCTTGCTTTAAGATGTAGGTTGAGCAAGGGAGATCGTTCATGAAGAGAAGAGTTTAATTCCTCAGTGTATTTGTGAATTTAAATTGATAATTTGTTGGTGTAGCTTTGGTCCTGGTTGATTCGGTCTTCGGATGGTAACTTCTTGTTATGATTGTTCCATTTAGTTATAGAATAGTGAGGAATTTCGATAAAAGTTTTTTTAGAATAAGGATATGGCTGTAGCAGTAGTTTGAATTTCTTTAAATTTTCAAATAAATTTTTTAAAGTATCTGGGTGTTGACTGGCTAAGGATATTGTGCGGTCTTTATTCTTGGTTGTAAGGTCACAGGTTCCGAGCCAAATATATAGATGAATATTTCCTAATTCGTTTTATTTTGCTTTTTATGTTTTTCTGCAGCCAGTGTAGGGAGTTTTGTATATTGGTTCCTCGTTTGTTCCACCAGATAATTTGACGGTCCTCTGGATGACGGACTTGGTCTTTTAGGTAGACCCCTTTGCTATCGGGTAGTATGACAGGTCTCAAGTACCTTTTCCCTACTGTTACAGATCTTGGGGTTTGCAAGTAATCTCGGATTTTCATTTCAGACATGTACACAATAGTTGTTAATTACGTTGGGGCTGGGGTTGGGGGATGACGACAAATGTTCTTTATAAGTTTTAAAGATATTCTACATGTTGCCTGTTGAATTAATATTGTTCCGGTAAAAAAGAAATACTTACTTGGATTGCCCTTTTTTCAAGATGGCGACGGACCGCCTCGGTGGTCAATCTGTTGACAACCGCTGAATACACTAATTAGAGTTTTGTGTGGAGGTAATTTTTGCAAATAAAACATGGACAGTGTTCTTGTGTTTTTAACCACTACTTTTTGGTCGATAAAGTCCCCTTTCACCACTAAAAACTTTGACTTTTTTACAGAGCTCCAAAACCAACTTCCACCATTGAGTACGAAACTAACATCTGCGTGTACTTGAATTTTGTTTTTAATCATAGAAATGGGCGTTTTACTTATTCTTTTATTTATTTCTATTTTTTTTTTTCGAAATGTGATATCGAATATCAACAATATTCAGACATTTATTTAAATAGGAATCAAATGACTTTTTGTCAGATTTCTCCCGTTTACGCCAGTTTTTAAAATAGAATGAAAGAGCATCCTTTAATGACCTGACGACACTCTTCCCAATTTATTTTCGACGATGGACAATATTTTGGTCCATTTTTTCAGATTTTGTTTTAACCTCTTGGTCTTGAAGGATATCGAGGTCTTCTGTAATTACATGACCATAGGGACCAAATATCTAAACTTCAATGTTTCACAGTCTCATGTTGAAAGTGCATTATTTTTTTCTACACTGACTTCTGATGTAACTGATGTTTAATTAGGAATTAAGGATGTACTCATTTCAGGTTTAGGAATTTTTGTCAAACTCCCTGATTTTTCCCCTACAATACAGGGTAAAATATTACGGTTGCTCCATATCACCTTGGAACAATATATATGTTCCTGATATCACCCACTTTTCTTTTCATAGAAGACTTCAATATCTGATAAAAGGTCATTAACAAAATTAAAGCAGATTCTAGATTTCTTAAATTAATTACGATTCAAGACCCAAATAATGCCAATGCTAAATATAAGGTAAAAGTAGAAGTCGTCGTCGTTTTCTTCTTCTTCTTCTTCTTTTTCTTTTTCTTCTTCTAGGATTATTCTTCTTCTAAGGATTCTTCTTCTAAGGATTCTTCCGAGTAAGGATTCTAGGGTGCTCAATTCAAAACATGAAGCACAAGTAGCATAAAACTATATAATTCTATTATACATGCAGGGATCTGTTCCATCACCATACTTTATTTTCCTCCTTTCCTTTCCTATTCTGTACATTCCACCTTTTCCAGATGAACCACTTCAGTTGGTAATAACTATATACATTTTGGCTGTCCAATTAAAGCATAATTGGTATAACGTTAATTAAGCACTAATCTATGTACCATGTGTACAACACTGTAAAAGTCTTTGCACTGTGGCATTTACTAAATCTAAAAGTTTATCCATCAAGATATCAATGTTACTGTCACAATCTGGTACGCAGAATATAAGTTCTTACTTTGTATTATTCATCCTAAGCCAACAACCACATCTTTATAAGTACCCGGCCCGGTACTTTTTACCCATTTTTGTTATACCACCAAAACCGTCATCGGTTTGAATGTTAGACAATCTTGTTGACACGACACGATGGCGATGCAGAAAAACAGGAACTTATTCCATTTATCATTGATATGGATGTGTATTTTTGTCTGTAAGAATACATGAGTCTGTTATAAATACAAAAAGACACTGTGACAAATTTTCAATCTTTTACCACTCATACACATTTCACTGGACAAAAATAGACATTAATTGTTGGTTCCAAAACTTTGTACCATTGAAATGTAACAATAATAAAAAAAATTTTTTTACATTGGAGACTAATTGCCAGAATGTTGGGTTGGGTAAGGAACTGATTAATTACGAATGTAACAATAATATTGGTGTCTACGGTTACGTTGTATAATTGTTACATGAGATTTATAAAACTTCAACCTTCTGTTGTGATTCCGAGTATATCTAAATACCAATAGATACCTTGGATGGTCGTTCCTGCAGTCAGGAACAGCCAGATTGCTCTTCAGTAGAATATCGTCTGTATAGCCATTTAGTTCATTACCGGAAGAGGATGATTTCTGGGTAGTTCTTCGGACCTCTCTAGATGGTCTATCCGATGACCTAAAACTAACCCTACGAATACTACACTCCCCCCAGTTTTATTAATAAGGCCCCCTCTACTGAGGTGGGCCCTGTGAATTTCGCCCAAAATTAACAAAAAACGGAAATCATACCAAATTTACCGAAAATATGCATCAATTAAAAAAGTATACAACCTACCCCCCTAACAATTTAAAAAAGTATACAACCTATCCCCCCAAACAGACCCTTTGTATTCATGGGTCTACTGGTACACTAAGAGTTAGTACGATGGGTTCCCAACAAATTGGGAACCCAGCCAACTGTGAATTGTTCTTCTCTGGATCATATACCAACTTATACAAACTAAGCCCTGGACACTTAGTGGTTGCAAGTCCTCTATATAGTTGGACCCAGGAGGTTGTGCTGATCCATTCTCCGTCGTGAAAAGTTCGGTCTCATTTTTCCTCACTTGCACTTTATTTAATTTTATACCTTTGTTAAAGTAGGGAATTCCAGGGTCCCACTGTCTTCTGTTGGGACCCCATCTAACTGTGGCCATGGTCACACGCAAGACTGTTGTCCCACTGTCTATTGGGGGCGGCTGCAGATTAAAGTATCTAGTGCCAACATTATCTGCTTTGAAAAGTGACCCCAAACTCAAACTTGGACTTTCTTGATTAATGGATGAGGATTCCTTGTCGAAGAAAGATTCTACAATAATAACTGCTTCTTTGTAGATCGGACTATTGTTTTCGGTTGTGGCCTTTCTGTCAATTGCTCCCGTTGAGGAAGGTACCACTAAAGTGAGAGATGTATGACCTTTTTCATACTTGTCAGTCATTCCTCCATCTACAACAGGAGTTGGACACATCGACCCTTGATATGGCTGACAAACTGTATTACTGGCCTCTTCTACCAATGTGGTATCTTCCTCAATGTCTGAGGTGGAGTCCCAACTTTCTTGGGCCTCCTCATCACTTGCCATAGTTTTCTCTCTTGGGGCAGCAACCTCGTGATGGCTATGGCTTTCCTCCATAGCCAATATAGCTCCTAGGGGTTCCCTCACAATGTTGGCTACTGGACCCTCCTGGTCTGCTGTGAGCACTGCTGGAGCAACTACGTTGCCCAAGTCCAGTTCCTCATGTTTCTCCACTAATGGCATGTCTGGGGTATCCACCACCAAGGAATGACCCTGGTTAGCCCTTATTTTCCAACAACCACTGTCTGTGTCCCTTATCAAAGTAAACCTCTTAACCACGTCGACCGTGACCAGTTTGTGTATATCTGGTAAAGAGTACCCGGCAAAGCCTGGGTGCCCTTTAAGGATTTCCTCCACAAATAAATACCCACCAGGGAGAAGTTTGTGGCCCAACTCCAGTGCTCCATGCCTCAATATGTTAGCAAGAGTGTTTAATAAATTGCTGTCCAGTCTGCCTGAAGGAGTATCCTCTTCTTCAGAAATTGAGGACTGCCCTGACTCACTCTCTGCTCTAACTTCCACCGACACCCTAGATTCTCCATTCCCCTCCCTATCCCTGGGGAGATTGGCATCTACCCCTGTGCTCAATATAGCTACCTCCGCTACTCTGGCTTGAGGTACAGACTCAACTACTAAGAGGCCCAACTTCATTTGCGGGGACTCACTCCGGCCTCCTGAGTAGTCCCGTTGAAGTTTAATGGACCTGTTACAGTTCTGCTTGACTGATCCCTTAAGGTAACAGTTTTATCTCTCCCCTGGAAATCCAGACAGTCCTTCCTTACATGTCCAGGCTTAAAACAGTGGTAGCACACTCCCTCCCATGGAGGCCCTCTATGAGGGGAGAGACTCCCTGAGACAGATTTATCTCCAAACTTTGGACATTCCATTTTAAAATGGCCCCTCTCCCCACAGTAGTGGCAACCTTCCGCCTCTGCTAGTCTGCCCGGTGAGGGGCTTCCTGCAACATGGCAGGGGAGGAGTTTCTTGAATTGGTCCATTATGTCGTCAAGTTTTTCATGGACTAGATCAAACTTATTTTCAAATTTTTTATTGGTCTTTTCCAATTCACTTTTCCAAGTACTCGCTGGGGCCCTCTCAGGGGCCATAGTAGCCCTTACCTGCGGTGCCTGGTACTCGTGGAACACCTCTGGGTGGTCGTCATACCGGCCACCCATTACCTGCCTAACCTCACGCCTAGTTGGCTTCCCATATATTGCCTGGGTATTGTGCTGGAATAGCCGTATTTTATCTACAGCCTCCTCTATGCTTTGGGGCTGGAGATTTGAGACTTGCACCCCCAACTCTTTGTTTTCAATACCCTGGCACAGCCGCATTACGGCCTGCTCATACATATAGTCGTCAGGGAGGTTTCTAAAGGCCCTGGTGGCCAAGGACAACACCCGATCAGCCCAGTCCTCGAGAGACTCCTCAGGGGCTTGCCGGGCATTGTTGAACTGGACCCGGGCGGTCTCAGGGAGTGCCTTGAAACCAAAGCGCTTGTGGAGCTTCTCCACAAGCTCCTTATAACTCACCTCCCTGTCTCTTTCCGTTATGAGGGCATAATACTCGCTGGCCTTCCCCTCAAGGCACCAGCAAAGTTGGTCTTTACATTCCTGCGGACCCCATTCACAAACCTCTGCGTACCTTGCAAATTTTGTGAAAAAGGCCTGCCAGTTGCCCTTCCCATCATACTTAATATTTTTTGGGGCATTGCTAACTTTAGAGACTGCACCTAAAGTTGCTCATGCCCCACCTCTGCTGTCAGGTCCCCTTATGTTTTCCCTGGGCCTATCCTCATTGTGTGGCATTGGGTAAGCATGTTGCCCGTAGCTGCCCCCGGTGGTGACCCCTTGTGGGGGCACCGGTGTATACCCTTGGTTGTACGGATTATGGGATTGCCTATCCCCATAGGCACAGGCCGGGGTCCGCCTTTGGTCCTCACCCCTGTTGTTTGGTCTTTCTTCATACATTGGGGCTGGAGCTTGTCTGGAGTCCTCGCCCCTACTGTCCTGCCACTTGCCATACCTACTGCGGGGTGTTTCATACTGTCCCCCACCAGTGTGAGCTGGTTGGGTACAGGGTGCTGACCCCTGACCTGCATAGTTGCTTGTGTGACCCATGGGGTATGAAGGTGCGCCCCTTTTGGTTGGGACGGTTTTGTCCCATGCACTGGCTTCCCCTGGCCAGTGCTGTTTGGTCTTAATACTACTCCCTTGATGTTGGGGATTACCTTGGTTTAGGTCACCCATAATGGGTTGACTCCACTCATATTTTGTAATTTGTTCCCTGTATCCCCCATCCCAATTTTCGGGGGTCTTAGGTCTAGCTCCAGCATCCCCGGGATATGGGCTACACTCAAGAAAGGCAGAGTCCATCTGACTGGGCCCACCCCAGGGCCCGGGACTTTGCCCCTGATGCCATGCCTCTTGCTTAAATGCTGATTGGACATGTACCCGTGATGGGGTGCTTTGTGAGGCAACATGTCCCCCATCTATTAGTGTGTTAACCCTGCACAACATTTCATTATGCCTGCCTTGGGCCTCAGGTGGTGGCCCACTATTTTGGCCACCCCAATTTTGATTGAAGTCAAGTCTGGACAAGAGGGCCATTGTCACTCGTAGATGGGAAATTGTGGCTAGGTCTGACTCAGTCACAAAGCCCTTGCCCTCCCTTATGTCCATAATTTGCTCCCCAGTTTTAATTCCTATACCTGGGAACTGAAGTAACTCTTGAAAGCTACAAGTGTTTATGTTTATAATGGACATTGTAACTGTAAACAATTAACACTGATTTTCAACAAAGTTTATTTATTTATCAATAAACAACAACAACCAACACTTTTAATAATACAGATGTTTTTATTTTATTTTATTTTATTGAATAACAAATACTTCCGCTTTGGGTAACCCGTCCTTCTGGTCTGCGGTTAGTAGCGAAAGCGAACAGAACAATAATACGACTGGTAACCCGTCCTTCTGGTCTGCAGTTATCAGAGGTAAACAGAACAATAACACAACGACTGGTAACCCGTCCTTCTGGTCTGCGGTTAACAGAAGTAAACAAAACAATAACACAACGACTGGTAACCCGTCCTTCTGGTCTGCGGTTAACAGAAGTAAACAAAACAACAACACAGCGACTGGTAACCCGTCCTTCTGGTCTGCGGTTAACAGAAGTAATCAAAACAATAACACAACGACTGGTAACCCGTCCTTCTGGTCTGCGGTTAACAGAAGTAAACAAAACAACAACACAACGACTGGTAACCTGTCCTTCTGGTCTGCGGTTAACAGAAGTAAACAAAACAATAACAAGTCGACTGGTAACCCGTCCTTCTGGTCTGCGGTTACCGGTGACTGGTACCCAGCTGTCCCTTCTGGGTCAAGCAAGGTAATGACCTGTCGTCTCCTGCCACAATCTTTCCCCCTAAACTACCGTGAAGTATTCCTCCAGAATACTCCACAAATGCCTGAAATGATTTATTCCCTCGCTGGAATAAACCAAAAACACCCTTTTCCCTCCTGTCTTACTATTTTTGCCGTCCACCACCGGCACGGCAAAAACATAAAAAATATCCCTTAAAGTCCTTACAC